TTGGGGCATACTCTTTGTATAGATGATCTTGCAATCTTTTTGTGATATGCAAATACTAATCCATATTTGGAAGAAGCAACAAAAAATTCAATATATGTATATACACATAATTATATTCATAATAAGTTACTTTTTATTTTTTGGGGGTAAACCCAATAATTTTATACAAGAATAAAATAATTACAACCTGGGAAAGGAGACTCCCCTTTAGAACCAAGAACCTTAGGCATTCCCAAGGGCCAAAACTACAAAAGCGAGGACAACCAAGGAAAGACATTCCTTATACATAAGAGACTAAAACTACAAAAACAGGCCAAGCTTCAAAACTAGCAATCCACACTGTACAAGCTGGAAGGAAATCTCAAAAACAAAAAACGCACAAACAACATGGACCACACAAGCTGTAACAGACACCCGAAGACTACACATAGCACCAAAGGCAGAGAACAATTGCAGCAGCTTCAACAATTGCACACACACACAAGCTACACCAATTGCAAAATCTCTCGGAAAGAGCAAACAAAAACTACAAAAACTGCTGCATCTTCGACCAAGCTATAGCACTTCCTCGACAACAACACAATTGTAGCATAATCCTGCAAAATACTGCATTACCCACCACAAATCCTGTAACTAACAACCAAAAGCTGCACAAACTGTAGAAAACTCCTAATAGCAAACACACACTGGACAGCCTATACAAACTGCAACAACCTTCTAGAAATGGCACACACTGCAAAAAGCAACATCTCTGAAACCTGGACAAACTACCCGAAATGCAGCAATCTCCTAGAACCTGCAAAAATTGCCCCACACACAATGAAAAGCTCTCTATATATCAACATAAATCCCTCAATTTATATAAATGCAAACAATTACCATTGCATAGCGCCCCCCCCCCCCCCCCCCCCCCCCCCCCCAAAAAAAAAAAAAAAAAAGAAGGTGCACACACTTAGTTCATAAAGTAACATCCATTGGGGAAACATAGAAACACACAAATCGCAATATTGGCTTGACTAGAATGGCTTATTACAGCACCCATAGATTCTAGGATCCACTGATACTTTCAAATTAAATAAATTGGTAATCATTATTTTTGAACTAAACTATAATTCACTGAACATTATTGCATACTACCCCACTTAATCACTCTAAACCTAGTCTAATGGATGAAGTGACTACTGATGAGAAGCAAAATGTCATATTTACCCCCCTTAATGCCTAGTCTTTTATACCTATTTGCTGCCTAAAATGTACTGATTTTTATTCTATTTTGACTTGGAAGCAAATGGGAGCGTTAATTGCAAAACAACTAATTAAGTGAATTCGGACAGTTTTGACATTGTTTCGTATTTTGGGCATAACTCTCTCATCTAAGCTCGATTGAGATGATTCAAAATGCTGTAGAAATCTAGAAATATATCTACAACTTTTATGTTTTGAGTTTGGAGATATACTTGATGCATAAAGGTTGTAATTGGGCTTGAAGTTGACACATCTGCACTGCCGATGTTCTGGAACATTCTGCCTTGTAATGCAAGTCCAAGAGGCAGTTTATTATGGAAGATTTGAAGACATGTGGCACACGATTTACAGCTGGACACATCACTTTCCTGTTTTTATTTTTAAGATTTTATTGTATTTTCAATTAATTAGAATCAGATTAGGATAATTGATTTTAGGATAATATTTTAGGAGATTGAGTTGAATTCAAACACTTGAATTAGATTTTTGGAAAGGGAATCAGATTAGGTTTGGAGGGACCACGCCTCTCTCTTCTCTTCTCTGGAATTTTTCTTTCTTTTTGAGTTTTGGTTGATGGCCATGAGCGGCTAAAAAACTTTTGTAACTTGGTCGTCGGAACGGAGACCTCGAATCAACCAACTGTGAGATCTAATCTTTATTTTAGTGTTCAATTTTCGTGTTTGAGTATTGATGTTATTCTGTGCATATGTTTAGTAATTTGCTGTTATCCCTCCAACTTGTAAGCATTAGGGTTAGTAATTTGCTGCGTCAGGAATTAATAACCTTATGAAGAACATTCACCTAAATTAAATACAACCGCTTGTGTTGTGTTGTTTTCTTCATCGATCTCTCTAATTCTTAAGGCTACCACTAGATTAAATCTTGAGCGCTTGTCTAGGGTTGTTTATTGGTAAGATTAATTAAGAGCGCTTGTTTCCTAATTAATTAAATTAAGGAGAGTTAGGAAAATAGTTCCAACGTGAATATTCAATTGTAGAATTGATTATTTTTGCATCAATGATCAGTTGTGAGATTTCGATGGTGGATGTTGACGGAGACCAAGTTTCGTTATATTAATTGATTTCGAATTGAACTGTTTTTGTTTTTTTTTTTTTTTTTTTTTTTTTGGTTTTTGCTAAGAACGTTTTCTGTTTTACACAAAACCCCCCAGCTTTGTTCACATAACATCAAATTCGGCTAGACACTCTTCGTGGGATCGACCCTTGCTTACCCTATTTACAGTTCAGTAGTTAGGTTCGGAAGGTTTTAATTCTGGGTGCCTACGACAGCACGGCAACTACACTCATCAACAGAGCCTTTTGCTTATTGACAAGCAGGGGACAGTTATATAGCAAAGTGATCTCTCTAGTCAGACAACAACTCCTTTTTATTTCACATTTTTTCATAAAATATAACATTACTGGTATCAGGACAACGAAAAATTCCCATGTCTTCACAAAGTAGAGTCTTATCTTGAAGCATCAGATCCAAAGATTCCAAAGTGAAGAACCATTACTAGCACCCTTAATAGCCATAATGTTGCTATTGCTTGATTTTGCTTCAATATTCTTCATCAGAATACGTAGCAATAATAAAAATCTAGGCAATAGTAGAGGACACATGTCAGCAATACTAATTTTATGTAATACAAACATGTGTTCTATAGACAGGTATACCACTGATCCACAAAGAGAATGCACATATGCGTACGAACACACACACAATTATATATGTATATATAAACAAGTAACCATCCATGAGTATGATCATCAACACTGATTCTGAAGTTGGACCTAAGGTTTCTGTGTAGTATCTGCTCGGTAGTCTCCCTAGTTAATTTCCTGCTCCGCGATGAGGTATGTAAGATCCACTCACAAGAATTCTTAATTGGCAATTGATAACCACAATTATACACTGAGTTTTTTATACTATTCCTATTTCTAGTCAAGCCAATATTGCAGAATCGCAATAAGTTGTTGGTGACAAGTTTATTGAAAATGTTACAATAGCAAATAAGAGGGTTTGGTTCGTACTTTGTTTGCGTCTGGTGAGCCGTGGCGGCATCTGGCGAGGCGAGGCATGGCGTGGCGGCATCTAGCGAGGCGGGGAAACAACGATTGCAGTTGGTTTGGCGAGACGCGGCGGCTTTCGGCGAGGCGTGGAAACGACGGTTAGTCTCTGGTTTGTTGGCATCTGGTGAGGCGTCGCAGCATCTGGCGAGGTGTGGCGCGGCGCGGTGGTGTTCGGTGAGACATGGAAAAGAAGATTCGAGTTTGGTTTGTTGGTGTCACGGCGTGTAATGAATTTGGGATGGGATCTGAGAAATTTTGGGAAATTTTGAGACATTGACTATGAGATGAGAGGTAGAGAATGAAGGGATTTGCATTACAGTGAATGAATTTGATTTAGGGAGTCGATTCAGGAAGTGAAATTTGAAAAAAAAAAAACAAATATATAATTTTTCAGAAAACTGACGTGGTAATTAAGTGATGTGGCAGGTGAGGTGTCATTTACCACATCAGTTAGTACTTAGGGTTGTACAATCTCATTAGTGGAGATAGCATTGCTCAATTATATATAGGCAACGGCCTCAGCAAATTTAATTGCCCTGTGAGATTACTAAAATATCATTTCATCTTAAAAGACGAAAATGCCCTTCTCACTTTCTTATCCTTTATTTGTCTTCCATGTATGTGACTCGAAGGCTTCTCATCATATCGACAGTGAGTAGTATCGTGATTGGCACTCAATCATTCGTCTCACTAAATACAGACCAATATTGACCTCTAGCAAGACATCATGACCACTCGATAGATTCGGATTCAGCGAAATAGCTACCAATCAATGATATGGTTATCGGACAATTAAATCCTTTCATCATACATTATCTCATCAAGGTTAAGGTACATAAGTAATGTCAACCTCAGATATTCTTAATCTCTGTGTATTCGGTTATCAGACCAATTACCAGAATAGATTGGATTAAGCTACAACTCAATCCCATTGTGACCATAAATTTAGTGTCATTGCCATTTACCGAATTGCTTAGTGAGATAATTTCTAAATGTGTAAAATACACAAGAATAATGTACTATTTTTCCTTCACTAGGTTTATTGGGTTTTTTCCTAGTAAGGTTTTAACAAGGCATATTCTTTGTGTAATGGACATCCAAGGGGGAATGTTATGAATAAATGTGGATGTTCCTTGCTATTCTGTAACTTCCCAATCTTTCATTTTCTCTAACTCTTGAACCTTTCAAGTTTTACAACTTCAAAGCATTTTATTAGTTTTTAATTTCATTTATAATATTTCATAATCTTAAGGTTATAAATTAGGCATGGCAACGAGCCAGGGTGGGGCCAGAGACCCCATTTCTTGCTCTCAAAATGATTTTCCACCCTACCCAGTCCCTGTTATGGGGATGGCTCATTAATTCTACATTAACATCAATTATATATATTATTTATGTATTATAGGGGGTATTACAGTATAATATATATATATATATATATCATATATATATATATATATATATATATACAGAGGGGGAGGGGGCGGCGGGGAAAGGGCACCCCCATCCAGCAAAAAAGGGGCAACTCGCGGCAGGGCAGGTCCCTAGAATTACACAAAACTTAGAATAGAAAAGCGTTAGTTCTATTTCCCCTTAATCATCTTCTCTCTTTTCTCTTAGTTTATTTATAACATTAATTAAATAAATAAAAAAATTTTATTCTAAATATATTAATTAACCTCCTTGGTGCCAAATATACTTCGAGCAGTTGTTTAGACTCATGTCCACAAAGTCACCATAGATAATAATGAGCACAGTAAAGTGGTTCTTGTGGGCGCATTGCGCATACCCGAAATTTGTATCTGCAATTTAACGTCCTTCAATTCACCCATCAATCTTTACAATTACCAATGATCTCCACCGCCAACGCCGCTCCCAACTGGCTCGACCGCCTACGCTCCACCAAGGGTTTTCCCACCGGCGACAATCTCGACCTCGACCATTTCCTTAGAAACAACGATCATGACACCCCAAAACCTAACTCGTTTGAGTCGAATCTGTCAGATTGTAAACGAGTTGTTGAAAATGGAGATGAAAAGGAAGAAGAATGGTTGGGTATAATGACCAATGTCCTGTCGGACCTCTTCAACATGGGCGAGCCCAACCCGAGATTTAAAAAGAGTTGCAGGAAACAAGCGAACCCAAAGTTGTGTTTGGTTTCGACAGAAGATCAAAGTTCGGGGTGTATGCGAAAAGCCGAAAATGCCCCGGTGGAGATTGAGACAAAGAATATTGAGATTGAAGAGGATGGCGAGAGAGAGCTTGTGGGGTACTCCAGAAACGAAGTGACAGTTATTGATACGAGCTGCGCGGAATGGAAATTTGAAAAATTAGTTTTTAGAAAGAGAAATGTTTGGAAAGTGAGGGAAAAGAAAGGAAAGTCACGTGTTATTGGGAGGAAGAAGAGGAAAGCAAATGGGTGTGATGGAATTGTTCATGCCAAGAAAAAGCTTAAGCTTTCCAATGGAGCTCCATCAAAACATGTAACACTCTGAATTTTCTTCATTTTTTTTTAATTCTGAGCACTATTATATATCCCAAGTTTGCATTGACATTGCTCATTCCAGAAGTGAAGTATGTAATGGCATAATGTAAGGGTACGTTTGGTACTGCTTCTTCAAGTGAGCTCATGGATGAAGAGCTTATTATATTAGAGTTTATGAGAGGGGAGCTTTTGTGAAAAACTTGTTAGTTGTCTAGTCAGGAAAATGTAAAAGAGTTTTTTAGTATTAATTTACCAAAAGAGCTTTAATATAAAATAATACATCAACTCAAATTTATAAAATAAAATTGGGATATCAAAAACAGCTTGGGGGGGAGCTCAATTGATAAGCCGTAAACTAGCTTCTCTAAAATCCTAAAAGCACTTTTAAAATGTAACAAAACATTTTAAAAAAGATCCAAAAGTCTTTATAGCTTTAAATAAGCTCTTTCGGTCCATAGATAAGCCCAGCCAAACAAGTTCGGGATGCAAAATTTGTAAACAAAATTGAGAATAGATAGCATTATTCTTTTTTATCGATGATTGTAACTTGTGATACAAGGGTATCATATTAGTTGAATACTGTTGGTTTTGGTGGTTGTATACGTTGTTATGAGGAGACAATTACTTGGACATTCTTGAATGAGTGAGTTTAACTCTTTTAGATGTTTTCTAGTGCTCATTATTTTCTGTTTAGCCTGCTTGCTGTATTAGATTACAGCGATTGTTTATCAACATTATTGTTATCTCTTGGTGGTTTACTTTTCTGTTTGTATTCATGTTGCTTTCATTTGAAATTTTTTCATTTAATGTTGATGAAGTTTTAATGGCATAAATCCTATTTTGACTCATCGAGTTTTTAAAATTTTATGTTTGAATTCATTGTTATATGTTTCTGAATTTTTTCAATTACTGTAATCTTGACATATGTTTTGATGGTGAAATTTTAAAGTGTTCTTAAACATGGTGGCTAGTACCAACACCCTTGTCTGCCTATTAGAATGTCATAAATATGCATCAGTATGACGAGGACCAATTACCTCTAGCGATATTATGGTTCTAATGTTTCAGAAGCTATTAGATCCAATTATCCTTTTTGCTTTATTTATTTACTATTATTATTATTATTATTATTATTATTAGTGGTTGTTATTCATAATGAAAGACTATATGCCACATAAACATTGTTGAATAATATTTTATGGTCAAGCTTTGTGGGTTTTTGTGCCTGTTTACTCCTACTTGAAATGCTTTAATTATGACTGAAATTTATAATTATGATTTTGGAGAGGACTAATCTATAATCAATGTTATTTTGTGTGGGATATTTGAAGTTAAACATTTAGTGACTTTAAACATGTCAATGCTTTTGGTTGTACATATCTCAATACTTAGATACTGATTTGCTTAGCTAATAGCTCCTGATTCACTTCCTTGTTTTTATGATCTGTTTTGTTGATATGCATCCTTGCTTCAAGCGACACCATGTCTTTTCTTGACTACCTTTTGTTTTCTTAAAATGAAAAAATTTCTGATGGATTATTTGTCTTATCTGAAATGTCATTGGAAACTCTTTAGTAAGTTGAAGAGGTGCCTGTTAAACTGTTTAACATCTAGAATCAATTATTATGCTTTAGCTCATAGTTCATTTAAAAGACATCTTCCAGTTGTCTTTAACTGACATGAGCATTGTTCCTGTTGCAGTGACTAGATTTCCAATCTCTAAATTTGTTTAAGGTTCTTTATCCTCTCAAGATAATCCAGGTGTTGACCGTACAGTCCCTTGGTCTAGAACTATTTATTTTAACCTTTTTTGCTTGAAATAAATTTTCTTTTTGGTACTTTGGTCTTGCTTCAGGTGATTCCACAAATCATACATAGGTTTAAACCTTTTGCCAAACTTAGTTGTTTGTGCTGGACTTATTTTTGTACACTTTTTCCTGTACTAAGAACATATTTGCACCTTTTTTATCGGTTGCATAAATTTGTGTCGCCTTTGCATCTAAACTAACTGTTGCACTATCTTTATTGACAATATGGTTGGAGTATCCTGATGTTTCATTCTATGAACTGTGATTAGTTATGTCAGGAAAGGTGCTAATTAGCATTTGTTTCTGCTTCCTCATGCAGGAAGAGAATCTTCATNGTCAAATTTATAAAATAAAATTGGGATATCAAAAACAGCTTAGGGGAGAAGCTCAATTGATAAGCCGTAAACTAGCTTCTCTAAAATCCTAAAAGCACTTTTAAAATGTAACAAAACATTTTAAAAAAGATCCAAAAGTCTTTATAGCTTTAAATAAGCTCTTTCGGTCCATAGATAAGCCCAGCCAAACAAGTTCGGGATGCAAAATTTGTAAACAAAATTGAGAATAGATAGCACTATTCTTTTTTATCGATGATTGTAACTTGTGATACAAGGGTATCATATTAGTTGAATACTGTTGGTTTTGGTGGTTGTATACGTTGTTATGAGGAGACAATTACTTGGACATTCTTGAATGAGTGAGTTTAACTCTTTTAGATGTTTTCTAGTGCTCATTATTTTCTGTTTAGCCTGCTTGCTGTATTAGATTACAGCGATTGTTTATCAACATTATTGTTATCTCTTGGTGGTTTACTTTTCTGTTTGTATTCATGTTGCTTTCATTTGAAATTTTTTCATTTAATGTTGATGAAGTTTTAATGGCATAAATCCTATTTTGACTCATCGAGTTTTTAAAATTTTATGTTTGAATTCATTGTTATATGTTTCTGAATTTTTTCAATTACTGTAATCTTGACATATGTTTTGATGGTGAAATTTTAAAGTGTTCTTAAACATGGTGGCTAGTACCAACACCCTTGTCTGCCTATTAGAATGTCATAAATATGCATCAGTATGACGAGGACCAATTACCTCTAGCGATATTATGGTTCTAATGTTTCAGAAGCTATTAGATCCAATTATCCTTTTTGCTTTATTTATTTACTATTATTATTATTATTATTATTATTATTAGTGGTTGTTATTCATAATGAAAGACTATATGCCACATAAACATTGTTGAATAATATTTTATGGTCAAGCTTTGTGGGTTTTTGTGCCTGTTTACTCCTACTTGAAATGCTTTAATTATGACTGAAATTTATAATTATGATTTTGGAGAGGACTAATCTATAATCAATGTTATTTTGTGTGGGATATTTGAAGTTAAACATTTAGTGACTTTAAACATGTCAATGCTTTTGGTTGTACATATCTCAATACTTAGATACTGATTTGCTTAGCTAATAGCTCCTGATTCACTTCCTTGTTTTTATGATCTGTTTTGTTGATATGCATCCTTGCTTCAAGCGACACCATGTCTTTTCTTGACTACCTTTTGTTTTCTTAAAATGAAAAAATTTCTGATGGATTATTTGTCTTATCTGAAATGTCATTAGAAACTCTTTAGTAAGTTGAAGAGGTGCCTGTTAAACTGTTTAACATCTAGAATCAATTATTATGCTTTAGCTCGTAGTTCATTTAAAAGACATCTTCCAGTTGTCTTTAACTGACATGAGCATTGTTCCTGTTGCAGTGACTAGATTTCCAATCTCTAAATTTGTTTAAGGTTCTTTATCCTCTCAAGATAATCCAGGTGTTGACCGTACAGTCCCTTGGTCTAGCACTATTTATTTTAACCTTTTTTGCTTGAAATAAATTTTCTTTTTGGTACTTTGGTCTTGCTTCAGGTGATTCAACAAATCATACATGGGTTTAAACCTTTTGCCAAACTTAGCTGTTTGTGCTGGACTTATTTTTGTACACTTTTTCCTGTACTAAGAACATATTTGCACCTTGTTTATCGGTTGCATAAATTTGTGTTGCCCTTGCATCTAAACTAACTGTTGCACTATCTTTATTGACAATATGGTTGGAGTATCCTGATGTTTCATTCTATGAACTGCGATTAGTTATGTCAGGACAGGTGCTAATTAGCATTTGTTTCTGCTTCCTCATGCAGGAAGAGAATCTTCATGATGACAAGGGAGACGAAGTTAGTAAAGATGCATCAGGATCAGATGGCCTTAGCCAAGTTCCTAAAGATAGGCAAGTAAAACGGCGAGCCACTTTAGTTTCTTTCAACGTTTTTTGCAATTGGATTTACAGTTGGACTCATCAGAATTTTTTTTTTTTCTTAATCAGGTTACAGGTTTCAAGAGTACCCAAGAAAACTAAAAAAGGAGGCTCATCCGATATCCTTATAAAAGGCATGCCTTCAAGGAAGAAAATGGGAGCAAAAAGTCTAAAGAATCGAACTCCTGAGATTGGATTCGAAAAGCATCAAGCTGTTTGCAACAAAGCTCTATCTACTACCTTCCCTGGGTATCGGGATTAAAGATGAAATCAGATTACGGACCTCAAACCCATGGCATGATTCTAATTGTCTTCGCCTATGACAAGTGAAGTGAATTTGTTGCCAGCCATTTCTTTGTAATTAATATTTTTGCTCAGAAGGATTTCACCGTAATAATATTTTGTTTTTCAAGTGGATGTGCACTGTTAATATGCTGGTTAGAGATTCCTGACTGAAAATTAGAATGTTAGTATCGATCGAGTTACTGAGTCTTTTGGCACAGACGAAGGTCGAGAAAATCAAGGGAGGACCTTATTTTATTTTTTAAGCATCAATCAAGAGGTTAGGTTTTAGTTTGTTGATGAATAAGATTGTCGGAATTAAAAATCTTGATATTAAGGAATGTCATAGACTCATAGGTAAATGAAATAAACCCCTAATTCTGTTTTTCAAATTTAATCTATTAAAATAATAGAAATTGTTTTATTAAAATAATAAACTGTTTGGCAGGGTTGTAATTATCTTATTTGAATTACCCGCAAGCCGTAGTTTGAATGTGCAGCACTCATTTGTAAGTAAGGTTATCCAGTAGGACCATTTGAAATGGTTTCTCAATTCATCATGTTTTCTCCCGCTTCTCCTCTCTCCTTTCTCTCCCAAACAATTATTTCCCCAACCAAAATTTACTCTCTTAATCCCCATAAATGCTTGTCTCTCACTAAAACACCAAGAACTGTTATTGAGCCCACATTGAGTTTTCGACCCACCAATACCATCTATTGCAACTGTCTCACTTCGCCCATTAACCTTCTTTCAGAGATTGAAACAGGTAATTCTTTCTCGGAGGCAAATTCTCAAACACTTTATGTACATAATATTCAACTGCTGTTTTCTTGACACAACGTTTCTTGTTTTGTTTTTGTTTCAGTTACATTCTTTCAAGAATTTGGATTCAGTGAAAAAGAAACTGAATTACTTTTTAAGCAGAACCCCACTCTAAGATTAACATCTTTTGATAATATACGTGACCGCATGCTTTCTATGCAGTCTGTTGGACTCAAACGAATTGCACTTTTTCGAGTGATTAGTAAATCCCCAAATGTATTAATAGCGGAGGAAATTGATACATTGATATGTTTTCTTCGTGACGATTTGGGAGGAAAGATTGAGCCACTGCAGATTGAACGCCTTTTTGTTGGAGCAGAAACAAGATTTCTGGTGGGGTTTGATCAAAAAGTTCGACTTCTCGGGATTCCTCAAGAACAGATTGTTCACGTTCTCAACAATGTTAATTTAACTAAGGCCTTATGTCTCAAGTCAATTGAAGAAATTGAAAGAACCATTGCTTTCTTGAACCCCTTTGGTGGTTCTGATCTAATTGTGAAGCGTCCAAAACTTCTTAATTATGATTTGGATACTCAGCTGCTTCCAAGAATTAATTTCATCAATAAGCTTAGTCGCGGTGATGTGGATGCCACAGGTACTGTCTTGCAGAAATTCCCTACAATCTTGAGTTACAGTGTGAAGCATGTAGAAAATCATGTGAAGTTGTTGAGGTCGTTTGGTGGACTAAATGATGAGGAAATTTTCAAGATTATTCTTGTGTTCCCTGGTATGATTAGTGCTAGTAGAGAAAGGAAATTACATCCTAGAATAGAGTTTCTCAAGCAATGTGGCTTGGATTCCAGTGATCTTTTCAAGTTCTTGACAAAAGCCCCATTGTTTCTAGCCCTATCCTGCGATAACCTTGCACATAAGCTTGCGTTTTTGGTGAAGATTGGGTACAAATATAGAACGAAGGAGTTAACCGCAGCAATGGGAGCTGTGACCAGAACAAGCTGTGAAAACATGCAAAAGGTGATTGGAGTATTCTTGAGTTATGGGCTATCTTTTGCTGACATTCTTGCCATGAGCAAGAAGCACCCTCAGATACTGCAGTACAGTCATAGTTCTTTAGAGGAGAAGATGGAATATTTAATAGAAGAAATGGGTCGCGAAGTCGGAGAGCTATTGGCCTTTCCTGCATTTCTTGGTTACAAGCTTGATGAAAGGATTAAGCACCGGTATGAAGTAAAAAGGAAGACTTTAGGTGAAGGAATGTCAATCAACAAGCTGTTAAGTGTTTCGGCAGAGAGATTCAAGACCAAGGAGAGGAAAACTTAGATTCATATTTGACAAATTGATGGCTGCACCATTTTATTCTTTAAGGCTCATTTTAATTTTTCACCTCAGGCATTTTGGATTCATAACTAAAGTTAATTCAGATTGCAGCCTGGGAAATAAGCCCTCCAAATGAAATGGTCACAGCCCATTTTGGCAAGATTGGAGCTTATACTTGAGGAATCGAGTCAAGTACAAGCTTGGGGTGAGCCTACTGAAGATGGTTCATAATACATCTAAATCCATTAGAGAACATAATATTTCTTTCTTTGTTGTACTAGTGCTCCACAATGTGTATCTTTAAAACAAGGTATGTTTGAGATGTCAAATATAATGTCCTCAATTTTCTTCCTCTTTCTTCCATTATTCCCATTTCTTTTTCTCTCTGTGATAACGAGATCTCCTATCAGAAACTAGATTAAACTTTTTCAAACGTTTGAGACTTTGTACACCGTGTATGAGCTCAGAAGTTCAATGCTGGAAGCACAAGTTCTAAAATCAGCTTCATGACGTGTAGGCTTAATCCCATTACCATGTGATGTTAGGGTGGCCAACGAGTTGTTCTGCTGTGTTGAAACTCAGGCTCGTGACACTAGGGACTCCTGATTATCATCAGTGAAAACATATTTGGCCAGTACAAGATCAAGAAAAAAATAAACCTACATACACATAACTGTACTCTCTTTGTTGGTTACCTAAATGCATACACTTGCCAATCCATTCCTCTTAATAAAAGAGTTGATAATTGTAAAGGTTGCATGGTGATTACATTAAATTTTTCCTCATCTTTCTTCTTTATACCTAGATCGCATGGTGAAGAGAGTGTTCGATAACCCTGCACATAAGCTTCTCTTCTCATTTTACAAAAATTAATCACCCCAAACATGTTCATATATGTCAAAATTTCGTATATGCTTCATTTCAAAAACTGTATTGTTATGCGCTTAGCTTGCCTTGGCCTTCATGTACACCAATGCCAGTAGAAACTTACACAAGGTTTAAAAACATCTGTACTGATATATCTGACAGAAATATCTCCTTTCTAGCTAATTTATTCTGCCAATGAGGGTTCTCTTGCTGGTTCAACCACCAGGGGCTCTAATTTCTCGGCTTTACCATTTCCTCCTTTAGGTATAATAAGACCGTAACCTCCCTCTTTTCGTCTATACACAATATTTATCTCACCTGGAGCCAAGCACACAACATTTATTTAATCACTATTAAACACTTTACGCAGAAACAACCAAATGGGAACAATAAGTTCATACCAGTTTCTTCATTTCGGAAACCATAGAAGTCATGATCAACATTTTCCAGCTGCTCGATGGCTTCGGAGACAGTCAAAGGAGGCATTTCAAAGTACTTTGTGCGAACAATCTGTAAGATAGGTTCAGGATTAGTGTCTGCCAGAGATGGCTTGCCTAGATATGCAGCTGGATGACTTTAACACCAGCAAACACAAAAGAGAAACTTATGTCCCTGAGTTCATCTCCATCGATGCTCAGACATGAAGAGACAAATTAACTGTTGACCATCATTTGAAAAAGGCCATATGAATGCATACACTTTCACTGTATTATGATCTATAAATGAGAATTGGCATAGTATTGACAAGATGGTGAATGACAAAAAGTGTCAAACTATCATCATATTATAAGCACTATAATCATGGTTCATTCATTTTCAACTTCCATTTTAACAAGCAGCATTGAAATTGAAAAAAAAAAAAAAAAAAAAAAAAACAGTTGAATAAACTTTTGTAGAATCACCAGAAATTTCATGGAAACTAACAACTAACAAGATGGTGAATGACAAAAAGTGTCAAACTATCATCATATTATAAGCACTATAATCATGGTTCATTCATTTTCAACTTCCATTTTAACAAGCAGGAAAAAAAAAAAAAAAGTTGAATAAACTTTTGTAGAATCACCAGAAATTTCATGGAAACTAAAAAGATGGATTGAAAAAATTGGACGAAGAACGTTTGAGAACAAGAAGTAACACATTGTCTTAATATTAGAAAAAGAAAAGATATGAATATTACATGAAACTCATGTAAGTGCTCTGAGGATAGAATAGGCTCTAAATAATTGAAACATTGATATTTAAAAACTCCATAAAGGGGTGGGGTGGCAGGAGGGGAGAGGGAACAATGATTAAACCATGAACAGCCTTGTGAAAGTAGACATGCAGCACAATATACCAAAATTACAAACATATAACTGTAACATACATTGGCAGCCACACATTGACAATTGCAAGGCTGAAACCAAGAAAACAGTAGACCAAAAGCATGTTAAGTTCGTCATTTGGTGGAAACAATAAACAAAATCATATATTTAGAAGACCTATTTCTCTAAACCAGTCAGAATAGAATTTTCATTGATAATGTCAGTATACTGGCAACTGGAAACTTACAAACTTTGATCCGATTAACAGATTTTAATTTAGGCATTTTCAAAATGGTTAACAACATTACTTCTAAGATCAAATGCACTCTAATTCATATGATAAAGAGAAAAAGGTACCACACATCATTACTAAATACTAGTAAATGACAATTGCACTTTATTTAATGTTATGTGAGTCTTGTAGAGAAAAGCTGGGAAGGAATAACACCAATAGATGTTGGGTGTAAAGAAAAAGTAGATAACTACCTCATCAACCAAGTCATTATCCTCTTCTTCTTGGGATTGTGAATCCACATTATCCTCTACTACTTGAGCCATTGGCTCCCTAACTTTGAGTCTGTTGAAGCCCTTCATATGCCGACCATGGTCTGATTCCTTCTCCTTAATCTTCCTCAACTTCCTTTGAATGACTGAAGACACCAAATCTATACTTGCATATACTGTCTCAGCATCTTCTTCCGCACGAACCACTCCATGCTTCTTTGTAAACAAAGTTACCTAAACAACACAAACAACAGCTGATTGGATTCAAGCAAGCCCAGAAAAGTTAAAATCTAAATGGAAATAGAAATAAAATAAAGGTAGTGACTTTGGAGACACCTCACATCGACGAATCCTTGGACCTCTTCCAAGCTCTCCACCTCTAACAGATAACCTTACATCAACTTCCCTCACAAGATGACTATGCTTCTGAACTGCCTTCCCAACCTTCTCTTCAACATGCTTTTTAACTGTATCTGTTAACTGTATTCAAACAGGCACAACGTCTCCTTTTATACTCCAATGTAAAAATTATTACTAATTAGAAACTGAAAATACATATGCTAGCTCCATTTGTTTAAGGGCTTCATAACGTGGCACAAGAAGAGAGAAATATTTTTGTGATATCAATGCACTTTATTTAACAACAAAATACATTTTTTGGTATATTGAAACCATCAAATTTTGTTTCAACAAAACCCTTTGCACTTTATTAAACAACAAAATACATTTTTTGGTATATTGAAACCATCAAATTTTGTTTCAACAAAACCCTTTGCTTATTTTTCATAACTTGTTTACAAAATATGGCTTAAGGTGGTGCTATAGGTACCCCTAGAAACATTCTTTCACCAAAATTACTAAATGCACACTACACCAGAATTCTTAAAACGATATTCTTCATTAATTTTCCGCAAAATTTTTCATTTTTATTATATTTTCAATTAAAAATCCACCATAATCTATTAGTCTGTGTTAGAATTATAAGTATATATAAAGTAGAAATTTAGAATATGGGTGTAAAGAATTGAGATAAGCTTCAACATTAACAAAATTAGAATATTTTATCTTCATTTCCACATAAAAGTAAAAAATGAAAACTGCAGTAAAGGGTCACCTCAAGATTTTTGCCTTGAATGATTAATTTGACGGAAGTGAGAGGACCATCCCACGACATTCGAACAGGGAGAGATTTGGAGTTAGCAAGTGTATTTCTGGGTATGAGTTTGAGATTGTTTTGAGTAAATGGGCTCAAGAAGAAAGATTTCTGAGACAATACTGTGGCGAGTTGTGGTTTCGAAGAAAAAGAAGGTGCTGTTGAGGGTGAGACAGTTAAAGAAAGCTTCAACGAAGTTAAGAGAGTAGCCATTGTTACAGAAGAGAGTTCAAATTGTATGAAAAATGAAGAGAAAAGAAAAAAGATGTAGAAAATAAGAGAGGGAGAGAGAATTTGGATAAGCACAGTGTCAGATTTGATTCTTTGAATCAATATATCTGGCCGTTTGTGTAATGGATAATTTTGGAGTGAACCCGCTCTCTCTGTGTCTCTCCCTCCCTCTCTCTCCATTATCTTGCAAGGTCCATGAAATTGAGGCCCATTCGATCTCCATTTGTATTGTACATGTCCAGTCCACTTTAGTTCAAACTTAAATAGACTTTCCTAGGAATTCGTTGGGTGAAAGTTCCCTTCTTAAATTGTTGGGTGAAACAATGAACTTATGAAGTTCGTTAGACAAAAAAAGAAATTTTGATATAAGTTCTATGTAAAATTGATGAAGTTTGAAAAGTTTGGAGTGATACTTAGATTATTAGTTTTAGGTAGAAGGGTAAAAAAATGTCTTTTTAAAGTTTAAAGATATTCATGTTAGGGTTAAAAAATGTCCTTGACCCAAATAGGCCCAAAGACGAAGACACCTTCAACAAAGCTCGGAGCCATAGCCCAATTCTGATTGGGCTTGCAACAGTGTTTGCATATTAGGTCCGCTCAGCACACCTACCTTGTTGCTCACTACTTGAGCCCAATCAGTAAAGGCCTCGATTCGTTTAGGCCTCATCATCAGCTTGTCTAGGCCCAAGCTCTTTGATCCAAGATCACCTGTTGGACCTAGGGCTTATTTAGACCCCAAGGTTGCCTATTTCTTATTTCGGTATTATTCGGATTCTACTGAAGAGATCCATTACTATCCTAAATCATCTAAGATCCATATCTTAGACCAATTAGGACTCTCTCTCCTACTAAGGTAAAGGAATCAAAAGCTTTCCTATTCACTAAACCTCAACCTTCAAAGTACTCATAGTCCTATTAGGACTCAATGATCCTACAGTTGCTATTTAAACAGAGGCCAACCCTCTCACAAGGGAGAACACATTACACCTTCTAACCCGGTAGCTCTCACTCTTGGGAACCTCATATCATTGTCGTAATTGTAGTCTCTGACTAGACTTTTGGTAACCTTCTCTTCCCTAACCCTTACTAAATTAGCCTCATTCAACCTTGTTGACTTGAGCGTCGGAGTGCCTACGACAAACACCACCCCAGTGTTTTCTGTTTGCTTCACGCTTGTTTTCTTGCTTGTACAGGTACAACGGATTGCTGGTGGCCTCAATCTCATGGGATCAAACCCTCTTTCCGTAGCAGTAGATTTTTTGCATCTACAATTTGGCGCCCACCGTGGGGCCTTTGGCAATCATTCGTCTTTCAAACCCTACTTCGCAAGGAAACTTTCTATGCCTGAAAATTCAGATGACACCAATCCTGGTCTCGAGGCCAAACTCAAAACTATGATGGCTCTTATGCAACAGCATTCAGACAAGGTGGCGACACTAGAAGCCAAGAACGCTACCATTCAGACCGAAAACGCCTCGATCCAGGCCAAAAACTAGTCCCTGAAAGAAAGGTGAGTCAATTTTATGACCTTGAGCTTCAGCCTTGTCAGGTACAACCCAATCGTTTCCATGCATCGGTTCCGTTCATGCAGCCTCCCAGACTCTGGATCATAGACTGACCGCCTCAGATACTAGATCGCGTCAACTCTATTTAATGCTAGTGGACGATTAAGCCTAGAATCCAATTGAGCGAGGAGTGCCAACAGAGCCACTTTCGGTCAACCCACTACAGGCACGAGATCAAGACATCCAAGTAACTGAAAGCCCACTACGAGAAGAGCCACCCATCCTTGCCATCCCGCCTCATCTCCAACCAGTCATTCCTACCCAAACCCCACTCGGCTTGACTTATCCCCGCGGGCGAGCGGGCTCCCTAACATTCAATCCACCCCGCTCGAGTCCATCCATCCCACAGATCGAGCAACTCCCAAATAACCTCTTTCACCATCCATGTAGGCCGAAACACCCGATCAGTCACAGTGGGAACCACCTAACCTAAGGGAATGAATGAATATCCAAATTACCAAACGGCACACGATGGAACGATTCACCAAACTACCCCACGTGACTTGACACAACGAAACATGCCGAGTGTGAGTCATATGTCGAACCAAGCCAACCAAGCCAAACTGGTGGCCTTCACCTCGCCCATGGAGCAAATATTGGCCAAAAGATTAACCGATATAAAGGCAATGATGAGGCGTATACCTGGAGTGCCAATCCCAATAAAAAAGAGTCAACCTCACAGCTATGTTGATTCACCCTTTGTGGATGCAATTGCACTAGCCGAGATGCTGCACAAATTCAATATCCCCAGCATGAAGCCTTATGATGGCACAACCGACCTAAATGACCACATATACAAGCAGCGGATGTTTGCCGCCTCAATACCCCGAATGTTGAAGGAAAAATGCATGTGTAAAAGCTTTGGCTCCAGCCTCTCTGGACTAGCCCTTCAGTGGTACACTAACCTTCCAAACAACTCAATCCGCTAATTCGCCCAGCTCATTGACACCTTCGTTGAACAATTCGCCAGCAACAAGAAACTCAAGAAGCTGTCAGCCAACCTATACAGAGTCTACCAGAAGAGGGGGGAACCGTTGAGAGAGTACATCAGCAGATTCAATAAAGAGAAAATCTCCATCCCATCTTGTAATCCAGAGACAAAGATAGATGCTTTCAAAAAGGGGCTCCTCCTAGATGGAGAACTATACAAAGACCTAACAAAACTTGGCTGCACCATAATGAAAGATGCCCTAGCCAGAGCAGTGATTCAGATCAAATGGGAAGAAGACGAGGCGAACCGAATGAGGCATGCTAGATATGATAAACATCACCAAAGGCGGAGTAAAAGAAGGCCAAAGTCCAGATCGTTTGACCCCCGTTATCATACCCTTCCCTGTAACCCAAGCAGAGCCAAAAAACTGTATGATTGCCATCCGACCAGAGCCACATATAGGCCATCCGGATCAAAACAATTCAAGATTCCAGAGTACAACCTTAACATTGAACCAACTCAAGTCGTGGCAATCATAAGAGGGATGAGACTTACCGTGAAGTGGCTAGCCAAGCTCAATCTTGACGCAAAGAGGGACGCGACTAAGTGGTGCGAATTTCACGGCGATCATGGTCATAACGTCGTCAATTTCATCGCCCTAAGATTGGAAGTTGCAACACTATTGAAGAGGGGATATCTCTAAGACCTGTTCGTAGATAAAGGGAAGAATACAGTTGGCCAGAGAAGCTCGAAAGAAACGTCTTCCTCTCCACGAGAACTAACAACAAAGGGGTTCTACTCCATTATCTCTAGAGGGTTGGAAATCAGTGGGGTGAGTTATTCCTCTGCCAAGTACTACGCTCGAGCCAGCCATCACCTAGAAGTCTGATCCATCCAACCATCCCCTTAGACGTATACCAACCAGATCATTCAGTTTGAAGACGATGAGCCAATCACCTTAGCCGCCCCTTATCACGATGCTCTGGTCATCTCCTTCCAGATCGCCAACATCCTGGTCAAGAGAGTATTCGTAGACGGGGGATCCTCGGCAAATATCCTCTTCCTTGAAGTAGTGAAAGCCAAGGGATTGGATGAATCAAACATCAGCAGACGGCCAACCATCCTAGTCAGGTTCAGTTCCGAGTAGAAGTTTACCATCGGAGAAATCACTTTGCCTGTCCATGCCAACGGAGTCAACAAGCAAACCATCTTTCTAGTGCTTGATTGCCCCTCACTATACAATGTCATCTTGGGTCGACCTTGGATCCATGACATGCGAGCTGTCCCATCCACTTTCCATCAAACTATCAGGTTTCCAACAAAATTGGGAGTAAGAGAAATCAAGGGCAATCTTAAGGCCTCTAGAGACTGTTATAAGAATGCCTTCAAAGGCAAAGGTCATACTTCATAGCAACTACAGTCCCATCCAACCCTTCCGATCGAGCTAAATCAACCATTCATAGAAGAGTTGGATGAATTGTAGATACATTCGGACCACCCCGATCGAAAGACCCAAATAGGCTCTCGCCTCAAGCTCGAGATAAGAGAATGACTTATAGACTTCCCCAAACAAAATCAGGATTGCTTCGCTTGGACCCACGCAGATATGATGGGAGTCAGCCCTGAGGCAATCGTCTACTACCTTCAAGTAGATTCGGACCACCCTTCAGTGAGGTAGAGGCAAAGGAAGTTTGCGCCAGAACGCAACCGGGTCAAGAAATTGAAAAGCTATTGAGTAACAGACTGATCAGAGAAGTCTATTATCCCGACTGGCTAGCAAACATGGTGGTCGTGAAGAAAAAGAACAAAAAATGGAGGGTTTGCATAGACTTCACGGATTTGAACAAGGCATGCCCCAAGGACTCCTTCCCACTCCCACATATTGACATGATGGTCGATGCGACAGCATATCACGAACTCCTAAGTTTTATGGATGCCTTCTCAAGGTACAACAAAATTTTGATGCACCCAGACGACTAAGAAAAGACAGCTTTCATCACGGAGAAGGGAACCTATTGCTACAAAGTAATGCCTTTTGTTCTTAAGAACATTGGGGCCATCTACCAACAGTTGGTCGACAGAATGTTTACTGAACACCTTGGAAACACCATGGAAGTATACATTGACGACATGCTTGTTAAGTCCTTTATGGCCAAGCAACAGCTTGACCACCTCAGCCAAGCATTCGCCATCCTAAGGAAATACAATATGAAGCTAAACCCAACCAAGTGCTCGTTTGGGGTCTCGTCAGGAAAATTCTTGGCGTACATGGTGACTCAGCATGGGATAGAAGCCAACCTTGACCAAATCCAAGCGAACCTCAACATACTTTCACCAACTTGCATCAAAGACGTCTAGCGCCTTACAAGGCTAGTAGCTGCCTTGAGCCGTTTCATCTCCAGATCCGCTGACAAATGCCACCTCTTCTTTGCCACACTCAAGAAATCCAAGAAATTTGAGAGAACCCCCACCTACGAGGAGGCCCTGCAGTAGCAAAAAAGGTACCTAACCTCTCTCCCACTTCTTTTCAAGCCCGTGGTTAGGGAAAAGCTCTACACCTATCTGGTGATCTCGGAGACAGCCATCTCAGCAGTGT